TGGCACTCAGTGCTCTGGGCTGGGGGACAAGGTGGGCATCAGGCACAGGGGGGACTTGGTGATCCCAGAGGGCTTTTCCAGCCCCGGTGAACCTGGGATTCCGTGTGTTCACACCCACACACGTGTTCAGCCCCGCACACGTGCACGTGGAGCTCTGTACGTGTGCCCCCCTCACCCGTGGTCCATCCCTTGTCCTCCACAGGTGGCTCCTGGCCCGGGGGTGGCCTCGGGGGGGCAGTGACACCCACACAGACCCCTGGAGGACACAGGGCGTTGTGTGAGGCCAGTCCCACTCAGAGCCACGAGGAGCTGGAGGTGCAGCTCAGCCTCTGCTCCTGCCACCGAGGTGTCCAGTGGCAGCACAGCAAATCCAAGGTCCTGCTCAGGTGGTGGGAAGGATTCCCCGTGCCGAGGTCCAGCGTGGCAGCCTGACGGACACGATCGCTGGGAGCCACGGCACAGCTCCACTGGGAGCCACTGGATGACGTCCATGGTCACCTCCTGGGTCTCTTGAGCTGAAGCCCCTCCAGGACCACCACAAGCTCCTGATTTCCCTCCATCACCAGCTGCCAGGATAACAACAGTCACTGGATCACGGGATAACTCCCACCTCGCCAACAACCCCACTGGGCATGGATTGCTCTGGGCAAAGCTGGTCTCCTGCCTCCACCCACCCTCTATCTGAAGTCTCCATCAGCCCAGGAGAACACGGTGGGGATGCTCCCCATGAAGGCCACACACTTCACTTCCCACAGGAGCTGTTTCTATAGGATCACATTGGGATCATCGGGACAACCCACCCAAGGTTGGGCTGGAGACCATCAAGCTCCACCATTGCCCCAGCAAAGGGTTCATGGCCCACCCCATTCACTCCCCCCACCACCTCCCTGTGCCAAAAAAAAAAAACCACCCTGACCACCAAACCCCATCGGGCTTCTTTTATTTATTTATTTCCTTTTTTTATTATTATTTTTTTTTATTATTGACTTTTTTTTTTTTGGAAACATTTTCATCGTTCTCGAATGTTCTACATCTGACAGGAAACATCGGACAGTTACAAACTCTTGGCTGGGATCTGTCAGGGAGATCACAAAACCTGATCTTCAGAACCAAAACCAGAACAGAAAACAAACAGGAAAACAACCCCGAATTCCAGATGGACAAACTGAGACTTGGGGGGGGGCTCTCCAGGGCAGCAGCTCCAGGCCATGTTCCGTCCACACCTTGGAGGCTTGGAAGACGTGGTTACTCTTGGGTTTAAATCCTTTTTCTTTTGGTATTTTTTGGGGGATTTTTTTTTTGTATTTATTTTTGTTTAAAAGATCCAATAATATTTAAAACCGAGCTGGTCTGGAGGTCAACGTGAATTAAAATTAATTACAAAATGAATGACATAAAAAGAGGGGGAGGAGCCCACGTGGGTTTGCTCCGTGCTCTGGGAATGGGAGGGCTTGGATGTGATCCTGGATCCCACTGCCTCATTTTCCCTCCCTCACCATGCTTCCCGATGGATCCCGACCCTACAAATCCCTTCCCTTATCCCAAACCCCTAGGAAAACTCCCCAGCTCCATCCCTTGCAGGAGGACACAGGGAGGCTGCAGATGGCCTTGTTGCATCAAGATTATTCCCTACAAACAGCCCAACTGAGCGTTTCCAAATGGGAATTCCTGCCCTTAGACCACAGATTTTCCTATTCCTGCTTTGCCAACATTCCCACAAATTACTGGAGAATCTACGAGTGCAACACGCCACAAAAACGCCTTTTCCAAGCCTCCCAAGCTCCATAAAAGGGTTTAATTTCTTTTTTCTTTTTTTCCCTATGGGAATGCCAGCACACGGAAGAGAATATCTGAAAGCTGCTCCTGCCTCAGGAGCTCCTGGCAAAGCCAAGGGAAGGTGGGCAGAGGGTCACCACGTTTTGGGAACGACAGTTGGAGGGCCTGAAAATACTGGCAATTAAAAAATAAGCCCAAATTCCCCCCAAAACCCCCTGGATTTATGGGTATCCAGCGGCTCTTATTGCTCTTGTTGGCTGGTTGGATTTTCCTATCAAAAATAAAGCCCCAAATGTGGGTTTTCCACCCCCCTAAAAAAAGCAAGATCCGATTTCACGCCCTCCAGCTGGGAACCACGTCATCCCAAACTCCCTGGGGGAATGCAGGGCATGGCAAACAGGGTGGGAGGGGGCTCTGGAAAGGACCATATTCCGGTGGCTGTGGGAAAACCTGATCCTCTGAACATCCACCATTAAAGCAAACCCCTTAAATTTTAACACTTCAAGGTAATTCCATCCTGGAACTGCAAAAACTGGGTTATTCATTATCCATAAAATCCAGGAGCAAATCCTTGCCTGGAGGGCTCAGCCACTTGGAGGCGTGAAGGGTTTGGGCTCCAAGGCGGGGGGTGTCACCACCAGGACTAATATTCCTATTTTTCCCCCCAAATCTCACACTAGAGCTGGTGTTTTAAAGCCAAGATAAAGGCAGGGATGAGTTAATGGTGGGAACATCGGGGTTGGGAGTTATTTTCCCTCCTCTTTAGCTGGAATTTTAATTTCAGACACTTCCCTGGATGGTTTAACCCCTCCTGCTCTTCCCCACTAATCCCGGGGCGATGGAAAACCCTTTTCCATAATCAACATCAGCAAAGCTGAAATATTTGGGAAGCTGGTGGCCCCCCAGCACTGTCCCCACCCAGGGGAGGCTGTGACCTCCCCAGGACCTTCCCTCAAGCCATGGAGAGGAGGAGCCCAAGGAGAGGGCTTGGGATCAAGGGAAGGGCAGGAGCGTCTCCCCACCAGCACAGCCCCACAGAGCCGCCTCGGGAAGGAGCTTCCCAAGCCTGGCACTGCGTGGAGGCCCCAGAGCCAAGTGGTGGCCCCAGAGCCATGTGGTGGCCCTGGAGCCACGTGGTGGCCCAAGCCTAACCCAGCCCTGGGTACCAAAGGTCCTCAGTGAAGCCTCTGGCCCAAGAGGTGCCAAATATTTCCCCTCCCCACACTCGGCTGAGTTAATGAGGATTTCTGCCTGGGAATAACAGGGTGAGGAGCTGCTCTTGATCTACTCAAAGGGGTTCAAACCCAACTGCCCATCTGAGTGGGAACACTGGGTGACCCTCCGTGTTCAACTCCTGGAGCTTCCTCCCCACTTTTAGTGTTCTTTCCTTTCAGGAGAAAGCCCAACAACTCCTTCCCAGCCATGGACCGAAATTTTAGGGGTTGTCCCTAAAGTCCTGAAGGGTGTCTGGGATAGTGGGAGGGTGGTGCCTGCTGGGAAGGGTCCTCTGCACAGCCTGGGCTCTGATCACAAAGCTTGTTGGACCCTTTTCTCCTTCTCCTTTCCTTCCCGAAGTGCAGCCCAAGGGTGCACTTTCCCCAGCCCACAGGGATGTCCCCTTGAGCTTGGGGAGGTCAACCAGAGCTTTGCTCCGGATTTCCATTAAAAATCCAGCAGCACTTCCATTAAAAACCAGCAGAACCAACCAAACAACCCCCCACAGAGGTGCTGCTTCCAACACCCAACCCGACAGAGCAAACAGTGGCTGGAAAAGTCCTCCTGGATCCCTAAGCTTCTTCCTCCCCATCTGGTTCACACTCAAGGAGCTCCAGGAGCTCCTCCCAGTGGCAGCAGAAGCCAAGATGGGAGACACCACCCAAAGCAACAAGAACAGGTCACCTTCTCTTCCAAAAAGCTCTCCAGCCTGACCTCTACACCACCATGGAGGGTCCAGGTGAGCCTCCAGAGCCCTCAGGTCCATCAGGAGACGTGATCCAGGCACGACCAAAGCGGAGCACCCAACACTGACTCAACACCACACACGGGTCAGAAACCCGAGGCAGGCAGTGCCCTGAGGGATTCCCATCCCCAGCTCCAAACCTGACCTCTCCAAAGGCTCTGGATTTGACAGCCTCAAAGCCCAAGGAGCAGGAGAGTTGCCAACAGGGAACACTTTTGGCACGTTGAGGGAAAAACCAAAACCCAACCAAGTGTTTTGCCTTGGAAAAGAGAAATAAATAAGCAAAGCCTCATTTCTAAACTGGGTTTAGTGAGAAGGGTTTAAAAATAAACTGGCCACAAGTTGCCTGCAAACACAAACTCCCTCTGCTGCTCTCGAGACAATGTATTGCTCTACTGGGACACCCCAAGGTGGGACATCTTCGTGTCCTTGTGTCCCTGGCTGAGCCAAACCCCCCAAAATCCCCCTGGTGCCCACAGCCTGGTGCGACCTCCGTCCCCCACCCTGCCCCATGTCACCTGGGGATCCCTTCCCTGCTCCCACCTTTGCTTCCCGGGAGGAAGGCGACGTGTTTATTGCTATTGCTTCCTCTCCTCCCACATCTCCCCTGGCAGAGCAGCCAGAATTCCCACCCCTTCTGGCCCTTCTCCACGGTGCTGGTGTTTGTGCTTGGATGGACATTTCTCCTGGAAGTCTCAGAGCCCAAGGTTGAGGGGGCACCTCAACCCTCAAGTTTGCTCTCAGCCCTGCCAGTGACACGGGTGGAGGGTGAAGCCACCCACCTTCCCCTCACCCTGCCTTGAAGACTCGTCTCCATCAACCAGACGCCCTTTTCCCACACCACCATGCTCTGGAGAAGCTCTTCAGACCAACTCCTGGATCTAGACAAGCTCTTTAGACCAACCTTGGACCTGGAGAAGCTCTTCAGAACAAACACTGTACTCAGAGAAGCTCTTCAGGCCAACCTTGGATCTAGAGAAGCTCTTCAGACCAACCCCTGAACTCAGAGCTCTCCAGACCAA